TATCAGGTTTTTTTTTTTTTTTTTTTTTTTCTTATTACTATCTAAATGTCACTACTACATGTTACAAATCAAATGAAAGGTTCTTTTTTCCCTTATTACTATCTAAATGTCATTACTACATGTTGCAAATCAAATGAAAGGATAAATAATTTGTGAAAAAGGTACAAAATTAAGGAGTTATTATCTAAACGTGTAACCAATACGTACCTTTAAAACATTGATTAGAAAATTAATAAATATTTTTTTTAATGTTGAGATTACATTAAAAATTATAGAAAATATATACAGTACTATTACACTTTCTAATTAAAAATACTTAAAAAAAATCAAAGTGAATCTTTTAAAACATAAGAGATTAAATTGAAACTTAAAATAAAAATAAGATACCAAATTTCTATTTTAATCTAAAAAGAAATTATTTCTTGACCAATATCTTTAAAGGCTTGGTTAACATTTTCCTAATCTAAATCATGTGTTCAATATATCTATCTTTCTATATAAATTTCATATGGAATATAATCAGGTTTTAAATTAAATCACCTACTAATCTTTTTCGTACATAAATATTGATGCTAAAAAAAAATACATTTTCTTAACTTGTGATTGTGGATGAGTTTTATGTGTCCAATTATAATTAATTAATGAAAAGCAACCCTTAAAAAATAAAATTTAATTAATTAGTTTTAGAAGATTTTTTTTCCTTCTTTAATTATTCTTAACACTCGAGATCTAATAAAACGTTGTTCAAAAACTTTAACTCATAAATAACATTTAAATTTAAAAATTTATAATCGCACAATTTAAACTTTAAATTCAATAAACCTATTTTAACTCATAACTTTAAAATAATAAAAAAAATCAGACTAAACCCTAGGTAGGAAAAATAAGTTTTGCTTGTTAAATGACTTAATTTATATAATCTCTCATGCATGTAACAAACCATGCATGCCGCGCGAAACATGATATAGACAAAGAAAATAAACAAAGACTTGTGGAAGTGCAACTAAACACATCCCTCTGTAAATTGTTAACTATCAGAGAAACATATAAAATATTAGAAAAAGAAAAAGATCATGAATAATTGTTACAAACAGCCCAAAGATCTATCTGTCTCTTTGTGTATATATAGTGAGGAAATGGGAAATCCTATCTTCCTTCGTCTTTGTACCCTCTTTAACAACATATTGATGAAGGACATGAAACTGATAGAAGCATCCTTCAACACAAAGTGGAAAAAGTGGGAAAATGTTTTTGAATCTGCAGTTCTTCTGACCATGAAAAGGAAGCAACATGAAATCACAGGCAGAGTACTGATTTTGAAAGCAGTCTCTGCTGTCTCTGGACAATAATATATATCACAAGATCCAACACAAATTAAAGGAGACTCAGTCATTGCTGCAATTTTAAAGGATCCTTTAAAGGTGGCATCAAAGAAAAGGACCAGAAGTTTTACATGCCAGTGGTCCCGATTCTAGGGTTTTTTAAAAACTAAAAGAAAACGGAAAACAATTAAGACGAGACAGTTACATTTATAGATATAAGATTTTATTTTCTTGCAGTAGTTAGCAGCGTCAGTGGAGTTTGGTGTGTTTCATTACCCTCGACTTATTTCTTATATTAGCTTAGCTCAACTTGCAATTAATTACTCCAGACACCCTCGTAAGGCACTAAGGCTTCAATAAAATAAGAAATCAGAATTATACCCAAATTGTTATTAAGTATCTAGCAGTAGACAGTAAAGGTTTATGTGTGTGTTTTACTAATTTGTAGGAAGTTATTCTTAGTAAAGTCATCCATAAAATAAAAGACATATATTTTGTTGAATATAAGTGTATGTATGTTTTTTATTTTATAGACAACTTTACTAGTAATAACTTTTTATATATATTCTTTTGATCTTAGCAAATACTCTAATTCCTTAATTCTATTAAAATTAAGAGTTTATATATGAATACAAATTTAGAATATTTTAATTACTCTATCAAAAATATAAAAAAAAAATACTTTTTAATAAAAAATTCTCAAAATAGGTTCTAAATCCAACAATAATCAAGAAGTTCTATTCCTAAACTCATATTCAAATTAACATGATACGCAATATCTCAATTCTAGCTATATTCACAAAATTCCTTATTATGAACACAATTTTCAATCATTCCATTAAATGACAAGTTAAAAGAAAACATTGAGAGAAGAAATGATCACTAAAGCTCGTGAATAAACTTGCATTAAATTCAAGAGATTCAACTATAAAATGCAGCAAAACATAATTAAAAAAAAAATATGAGTAAACATCTAATTTATCTCTAAAAGATGGTAAAATTTGAAAGAAATTCAACATCACCAATTTTTCTATTTTCCCTCTGACATAAAAGAAATTCAATTAAAAAAAATCAAACTTTTTTATGGAAAACAAAAATCTCAACAAATTTCTATCTATTTTTTTCATATGGTGGGAAACTATATATCTTGGCTCCTATTTAGCTTTAATTTCCTAAAAATTTATACATAGATATATCCTTTAAAGCAATGAAACAAACACAAAAAAATAATCAACATTAATTTGTTATACTAGTTTGAACTTTTTATATAATTATTATTCGATCATTTAGGTTATGTCTATTAAGCTCTATTACAAATATGAATAAATATTTTAAGTAATAAAATAAAGATTTATTAAAAGTTTAATCACAATTTATTGAATTTTATGCAAGGGACAAATTTTCTTAAAAAATCATTTTTATCCTAAATTAAGATATAAATTTAAATTCTGATTGTTGTTAATTCATTTACTTTATTTAGACGCTACCATGATGTATTAATAATTATTTTTATATTTTAAAAAAACTTAAATAAATAATAGATAAATTAATATGATAGAAAACACCAAATTCTTGTAATAACCATAAAGAAGATCAATTTTTATTTTATTTTATGATTATAGTAATAATTACTATAAAGAATTGAATTTTATGACATCGTTACAGAAATAATATGTGAGTATATATATTATTCTTTTCAAGTCTACTTTTACCTATCAATGGCGGTTAAAACGAATCAAATTAGGGTTTGAAAGACTTAGGACTGAACTAAAACATGTATTTATTAAGTTTGTGACTGACTTATATAAAAGTTTGGTATCACCCAAAAATATATTTATATAATTTATTTTATATAAAGCCTATAAACAAGTCAATAGGTTTCAAGTCACAAATTAATGACTAAACTTTCTAATTACTAAATAATATGATATAATATTACAATTTTATTATTAATAATTATCTATTTAATATAAATACAATATAATATATTAACATATACTAATTATCTATTTAAAAGATTTTTAAAAGTTTTAAATCTCTGAAATTTTTAATAAATAAATCTGATCTTTTCCAAACTAAGTTATAGATTCTGATAAGTTGTGTAACTTATTTTAAAAGAAATTGTCAAACCTATTTTAAAAGTGTTAAACTATTTCGTAAATGTAACACATTGGCCACAATTAATTTATTTTTAATAAATCATAATTATTTATTTTAAAGTTTTATTTATTTTATAACTATATTATTAATGTTAAGTATTTGTCAATTTTGTCAGTAACTAATTTAGTTGAGTTTCTCATTCCAATTACATTCTTTTAATTCACAATATTCAAAATCAAATCATTATTTAAAGAAATCAAAATCCAATTCTACTTAGAACAATTTTAATAAACCGTAGAAGGAAAAATATGTATATAAATCTGTGATAATTTATTGGTAAGTTGCTTGTGCTTTGTAGGCGTGCAGATGCATACGTCTTTGCCTGCAAACATAATGTATGGGCCTAAGGGCCTAACATTAGATAAGGGACCACTTAACACTTGTGGCTCTTCTTCTTTCTTTTGTTCCAAAATTGAGGAAAAAGAGAAAAATGTGATGTGAAGAACCCTTTACATTGCAATGGAAGAACGCCTCATAAGCCAGTAAAATAAAAAAATTAAATTAAATTAACTTAAATTAAACCAAAAAAAAAAAAAAAAAAAACACTGCACCCGAGTTTGAACGATAAAGCAGGCAAATGACAAAGAAACGATAGTAAAAAGCCCCCGGCGAGGATCGAACTCGCGACCTTTCGCTTACGAAGCGAACGCACTACCACTATGCTACGGAGGCTGCTTGATTGAATCGAGTGATATTTTCTACAAGATGGTTAGAAACTCTTTTTTGGTTATTGACAATCTGAAATGATCTCGTTCGAGAAATAATCATTGGTACTACGGGTTAATCATACGATTTTTTTTTGTTGACGAAACTGTATATAAAACAAAACTAGGCCTAATTTACATTTTTACACCTAACTTCTTATTTTTATTTTCTAATATAATATTTATCTAATAAACGTGAACACATGGGTTAATTTGTGTGTTTCGTAGCCATTCTCTTCTAATTTCTCTAGTACCCATTTATTTATTTTCTATAATCAATTTTATCATTCCATTAAGTATTCAACATCAAAAAATTCATACAGCATTAGTTCTTTCTTGTTCCTCTAGCCCGTACAACTTCTAGTCTTCTTCTAATACCTTCACGGCAAGGAAGTTAGTGGCAGAAGTCAAAGTCATAGATGACACATATGCTCCTCAATGAATTTTTTTGGAATACTTTTGTAAATCATGTTAAGTTGCTTCACAACATAGCAAAAATAATCAAAACTCTTAATCTGCTAACTTATATGGCTTGGCACGAAAAAAATTATATATAAATAACAAAATTATGCTTTAGAGATTCACATAAATAAGGGAACAAATGGAATGAACTACTTCACTCGCAAACTAGCAACTTCATCAATCAGAAACTCATCAACTAAGTCCTTAAATATCAGTCTCTCGACATCCAACACAACCCCAGGTAATTCACTAGGGAAATCTGTCCATCTTACTGAGTGACGCATCACATCTTCCCATAACATACTTTTCAGACCATCCCCTTCATCTTCTAAACAGCAATCTGCCTTCAAAGGTTGAAGTTTTTGTATCTCAAAGCAAAGTTCTTTAAGAAGCTTTTGTGCACTGACAAATTTTGTTGCTAGCCCATTATGCTTCAACCATGGCTCAAGAAAAGAGCCTAATTTTTCACCAAGAATCTCATTCACAGCATCAAAGATGAGTTTCCTGTGCCACTTCTCTGTATTTAGCTTCATGCAAGCAACTTTTCCAAGGCTGGTTTCTTCTTTTGAAAGGAAACTACTTAACTTGATCTGCTCCAACACTAAGAATAACTCAGGGTTAATGGGAAGAACTGATGAGTAATTTTGAAATGTCAGCAACTCAGAACTCATAGCTCTCAGTAGTAGACCTGAAGCTAATAGTATTTCAGCAATGTATCTGTGGTCTGGATTTGTATTTTCACAAAGGGAAGCTATGTAATCGATTCTAGTTTCATCATGACTTGAGTTTAGCTGTCTAAGCTTTTGAATAAGGCGATCTATGCTTTGCAATTTCTTGCGGTTGATCTCTCTATATCTTGTGTTGATAATGAAGAAGCCATCTGCATGGTTCCACTGATCTGTATTATCATTTTCTTTAGATTCTTGAGCATTATCAACTGCAGAATTTGAGTTTATAGTTATAAATAGTGTACCTAAATAAATATGAACTTACACATCATATATTACACCATTACATGTGAAAATACAGGTTATGCAAGGAAGAAAGTAGAAAGCCTAATAAGGTACCCTAAATGTGTTTCTCATCACAGTTGCCTTGGTGAAGAGTCACATCTCATGATTTTTCATGAATAGTTACATAACTTCTTGCAAGGATACAACCTTTTATTAATTTTGAAAATCTCACAGTAAAATTATATATCATCATATATAAACATGATCAACTCTGATTAAGGTCAATTCATCATAAGAAAATAAGAATTTCAATCTCTTACATGAGGAACCATTTCAAATAGAAAAGGTTTAAGAGTTCTTTTAAACATAAAGTTGTAATCAATCCTGAGGATGAACTGACGGTCAAAACCAAGAATGTCTTATTTTATTGGACTTGGTGAAATATAGTCATGCAGATAATATGGCTCTTAATATTTTTATTGTTATTTGGAAAACAGAAATATTACCTTTAGGAGCATTGGATGTACGATTTACTAGGGATGACATATCATATTTATATACTGAGTCATCAAGAACTGAATCAAGACTTGGATGATCAGGGGCATCCGTTGCAAGTTCTGCAATTGACTCATACCCATCCCACCTCATAGTTGATTTCTGCAAAATTAAGTAAAATATTCATATCAACTGACAACTGGATTATGTTACTACTAAAATTTTAAATTTTCTCATACAGTTTTAATCAGAATGCTTGAATCATAAAAGATAAAATTAAAATTAAAAAAAAAAAAAACTTCTAACCGTCTGCATTGATCCTGAAACCAAATGCTCAATAGCCTTCATAGATGGGCTATGGCTATCAATAATTTCAGCAGATTGTAAACTGCTAGTGACTTCAATATCCATCTTTGAGTCGACAGTGATAGTATCTGATTGCAGAGATATTTCATCCCATTGGCAACTTAAACTTCTCAATTCATTGCTAGTCTCACTAAGTTGGTCATCACTGTACTGTGGATTATGGACTTTAGGTCTCAGTTTTCGACTGGGAGAACGTGATTCTGTTGTCTGCTTATAGGACTGCCTTCTGGATTTATTTGAATCTGATGGTGAGGATGGCAGGCAAGATTTCTTCTCTGACTCCATCTTCTTCTGTTGCATTATTGGGCTAACAGATCCTGAATTCCTTACTGAACTTGAGCCATTTTCTTTTGGAAATTGTTTAGACCTTTGTTGAGATTGTGCTGATTTTGTAGTCTTGATACTATTTTCTTTCCTTTCACTAAAACTTGTAGAAGCATCCCTATAACTGGTTTTAAGAGATTGATCCTTTGCTATTTGACCGGATGTCGACTCCTTTTTATCATGTGCATGTAAAGCACCACTCTGAAGTTTATGGGAATTAGAAAGTCCTCCAATTGGAAAGACTGAAGAATCAGAAATTCCAGTTTTCTCAATAAGTCTTGCCGGTTTCATGATCACAATTGGTGATTCTAAAGCCCTTGCAGAGGCAGATCCACTGATTGTTTGTTGCCTTGATGAAATAGAATGCTGAATTGGACTCGGTTTTAGTTCAAAGTCTCTTTTATTTCCAACATTTGAAGCTTGTTCTTCTTTTCTGGTCTCTAATAGTCCCTTTACTTGCATTGCTTCCAGTATCCGTTTGAGTGCTCTGAGATCCCTTCCAGATTGTTTAAATTCAAGATCACTCAATCTCTTCTCAATCTCACTGTAAACTGAAGGAAATGAATCTGGTGTTCTTGCTGTAGCTTTTATGGCCCTGGAAGTTAGTCTCTCAGAGCTTTGGTTTCCATCCTGCTGCTTCCAAGGTGCTGGTTCAATGGGAAGCCTTGAACTTAAGATTGGTTTCCCAGCCAAATCAGGATTCTTCCACCGTGGCGAAGTGGTGTCTTTCAACGAGATTTTGGGGGAATTAGAAGCTCCAAGTGGCCTGAAGAGTCCATTTTTCATAAACTGATCATTACTTTGTGTTGAGCCATTTTCACTACTCAGACTTGACATAGTATCACTGGCTATATAGGATTCTGGCAATGCTTCCAAGCCCATTAATTTTGCTACAACACTAGGTGGCCGGCCCTGGGATGCTGAAGGATGTTGTGGACTAGAAATATTGTCAACAGATGTGGAGGCACCACCTACATTGAAATTTCTTGAGAGATAACTTGGTTTTGAATCAGAGATGTGTGTGTGCCATGAACCTTCCCTACCGTCAAGTGAAAGTCTAGGAAGCTCTTTTAGCTTAGGTGAGCATTTGATGGTACATTGTGATTCAAAAGATATACCTCTTGTTTCTTTTCCATCATAAGAAAACCTAGGAGCATCCTTTGAGATGGAATGCCACTGTCCATCTTTTACTTCAGATGATAATCTTGGAAGTTCTTTAGCCTCAACATAATGCCTAGGTGCTTCTCTGAGTTTGGCAAGGACTTGCAGGGTTTCCTTTAGATCAATAGGCGTGTTTTGTTTTCCTTCAACAGATTTGGACAGTGGAAAATGTCTTGGGGAATCCCTTTCTTTGGATAGTCCTCTGGCCTCCCTATACATAGAGTCCTTCACCACATCCCTCAGGTCAAGGGAGTGAGATCCTAAATGGGAAGAGGTACTAGTTTGGTTCATAACTGGGTACCTCATAGGAGATTTAGGATAAACAATTCGGTCAAAGGGAGCATCTGCTTGAGCTTTATTATCCAAAGAGGACATTGATGATGAACAAGAAGAAGAAAATGATGTTCTTGATGATTCGGTTGAAATTCTTTGTTTTTCACTCACACCCCTCTTATCCTGCAACAAATTCACCAAGTTGCATAAGTTTAGTTCCATTCAAATACGTGCAGTTCAGAAAAGTTGGTAGTTTCGGTACATTGCCGACACTAGGAAAACACAGAATTTAAGCACTGAATTAGTAAGAAATAAAAAGAATACAACAAATTCTGAAACAATTTTGAGGAAGATAACAAACAATTCTTAGCCTTTTTACATTTGACTCCACTAGATGGTACAAATACAAATTGACTCCACCCAAATTCTGATATGGTAAAAAAACTTCCATGCCTTAAATTGAAATATTATTAAAGAAAATTTGAACTTAAAACAGTATATAAGTTGTGAAACGGGTAAAGGAAGGTTCTTACAGATGCCGATTGTCGTTGGTGTACATCATTAGAACCTCTTTCTAGGCTGTCATAATTGAGGTGGGAAATACCTACAACAAAAGCAAGCGTTAGATTCGAATACTCTAATGAAATGGAAACATAAGGCCTAATCCACTACTACATACGAAGTGCTCAATGAAATTCCAAGATTTGTTAAATAAGATTATCACTAGCATCTCATCCACATGAATGCAGAGCAAACCTGCAGGTACTAAAAGTTGAAAAATTGCAAACCACCCTCCCGTTATTCCCAACATGTGTAGAAGAAAGTTGAAAAGGGACCAACATAGACAAAAGGCGTTCTAAGAATCTGGCATAAGATTAATACCCTTGTGATAAATCAACCATTAGGAAACGGCTCTAGTGATAAAAACATTTGAGATTGATATGGGGAAATAGAAAGATAAAAGGGAAAAAAATCAAATTATGAAAACCATCTCACTGAAACTAAATTACTAGAATTGAACATGTAATTAGTAAAGCATTATCTGGAGAACCTCCATACTAAAGGTGGTTAATCAGATTCTCTAACAGAAATTAGTCATTTATAAAGTTAATAAATATTTCGTAACAATATCATAGATACAAAAACAAAAAAAAAATAGCATTACCTGAAGGAAGCCTCTTCGGGCTAATGCGGCGAGCAGGAACAATTTGGTGACGATCAAAGAGTTGGAAAACCCCACTCATGCATCCTATCTGCTTTTGTAAATCTGGGTTGTCATCTGCTAAAGAATGCAAGAGTTTTGTTGCCATATCTACTACTTCTTCTCCAATTAAACTCAACTTCTCAACTACCACAATCAATTACAATTACTCCCTCTTCATAAAAGCTTTATCATTTCATTTGTACTCCAAATCTACCAACACAAGTCAGCAACGCAAAGTCCAAACACTTTCTTTAAAGGGTTGCAAATTCTAATAAGTAACAATATAACAATACATAGCATCCAGCATTTCAGACAGCTCACAAGGGTCCTTAGTCTTTACTCCTTACCATCCAAAAATGTGAAAAAACCAAACTATCGTACTAAAATATATATATATATATATATATATATATATAAATGTACCTCCTTTCTCTTTCTTTACACTCAGAAGTTTAGCCTAGGCCATAGTTCATGCTGTCTTGACCCTGATAACAAGAAGTTAAAGGAACATGTCTCCATATTTATGCTATGTAGTTCCATATGCAGCACCCAGAAAGAGGTTGATTTCTATCCTCAGCTACTCATAAACAATACTAATATTTCTAAATTAATTATAAGGCTCCTGTAAATATTTCATGGAAAATATTCTCCAGCTGATTTCATCAAATAATATAGAATTGGTTCCTTACAAAATATGAAAGAGAACATTTTTTGCTGACAGAACTACAATCCCAAAAATTTCCAATTACGACTTATATTAGCTTTTTGGGTTTTGGTTTTTACGAAAAACCAGGCAACACTTTGTATAACAAATAGTACCATTGGGGTAGTACCAAAAAGAGTCAATGATCCTTAAAAGTTAATAAAATATACACAAAAAACGTAGAGGAACAACACACACTCAGCAGCTTGAACCACTTAAATGAAACTAGTTCCAATGTAGAGTGCAAGTGAATCTTTGCATATCCAAGGAGAATTTTATTAATTTTCTCCCAAAAGAAAAAATGGAGAAAGAGAATCGTCAAAATGTGCACCCAATCTGGTCAAAACAGGCACAAAAAGTCAATGTTTCTTTGGATATATAGTTTTTTACAAAAGTTGACTAAGAAGTGTTTAGTGGATCAGTTGTCCTCGAGACTCAGATACCACTAGCTTTTTTGTGTCTCTTCCCCGACAAATTAGGCTAAGCCACTTTCTGAGTCAATTTTTTATTTAAAAAAATAAGTTGCATTAAATACATGTTTAAAAAAATATATATTAAAGAGTTTACTTTTTATTAAAATATCAAATTTTAAAAATTATTTTAAATATAGTCTATTTATCTATTAATTAAAATTTAAAATATAGTCTATTAATTAAAAACATTGTTAAAAAAACGTTCAACCACGCATGGCTCAAATGATTCTATTTCTCTATTATTATATTATAAATTTAAATATATAATTTAAAAATTACATTATTATTCTTTACTTAATTATTTATTTTTTTCCTAACTTTTATGTTTTCACATAATTTATCACCTAACTCTTATCGCTCAACTTTCAAAATTTACACATTTTTTAATATTAGTTAATTTATTGTCTCCATTAGTTGATTTTCAATATAGCAATTTAATTGATAATTTAGAAAATAATGCTGATATGAATAACTATTGCGATAATTTAATGGTGAGTGGCAATGCATAAGATTGTTGATGAGAGAAATTATTAGATAGTTCAAGACTATCATGTGTTCATAATTTCAACCAATCATTATATGACATGTATTTAAAAATTTTAACTTATGAGAAAAAATTAATATTACTTAATTACATGTTATATAGAGATTAATTAAGAATCATATATTTTAGAATCACTTAATAATTTCTCGAGACAAAATAATTAAATTACTTTTTTGTCTCAAACTTTTAAAATTTTGTCACCTAGTTTTTTTTTTTTTTTTTTTTTTTTTTT